TGTTATTTTGTCTACCCTATGTTATACAAGAAAAGTTTTAGTCATGCATATTATTTCACAAGTTTCAGAGTGATTTATCTTATTTAATTGTTTATAAAATCCATATATTTTTTGCTTAGTGTTTAAGGGTAATGTCTTGATGGATCCCCTGGTACATGCAAGCAAAAACTCCCCTTTGAATGATAGGCCCCATATATGTTTCCTTTGCCAAATAACAAATAAATGTTGGAGTCTTTGCACACTTGAAATATGGCTTGCATGTCACTTCCTGTTTATGTGCGTTAGCCTGTACATGTGTTGTGAAGTTTACAAAGTAAGATGTAAATAGTAATAATAAGAATAAATTACAGAATCATACAAAATGCATTAAAACTAGTATATATAAAAATTATACCATGGTTTAGGGTGGATGTCAAGTGGGACAAGTGATCCCCCCAAAAGTATCTCTAATATATTATTATTATATTCCATTTTGTCATTGAAGTACCAGTCATATACCAAATTATTACATATATTTAGTAATGGCACTTCAGGAATAGTTTTTTTTTCCATTTCATTTTAAATAACCAATTAAATTGTCAATTGGATTGCAAAAAGTCATATTACGCATTTAACCCAATGGTGCCGGGGAAAATGAACAAAAAATGGGGAAACTATTGTGCCCACTTTCTATGTTTTTCATGAAATGTCTGCCGATAGATGGCTCTGCTAGCGCCTGATTTAAATGGCGGGAATAACGTATTTTTCACTAGTGCTATGAAAATCGATGGTATTATTTTTATCATAAACATTATAATTTAAATAATTTTTTTTAAATATTAGTAACAGCAAAATAAGATTACGTAAAATATTTTGTAAATCAAAGGAACGGGTAAACGGGCGAGACGGGCGGTGCTCGTAACTGGCTCATTGGGGAGTTAGTACAAGTGTTGCCATCTATGCGTAAAAACAATCAAACAAGTACTCACTGTGGGCATAGCACGTACGTACACGTCATACCCTGCACCAAGGGGTTAACCACTCCAGTTTTCTTTTATAGATGATAATTACTGTTAATGTGAAGTTACTTTTTCACTTAATAGTACTTTGGTCTGTTGATACTTTCTTACTTGTATATTCTATATACTTAGTTACCCCCCAATCCCTTGCTTGTTGTTCTAGGAGATGGGGATAGAGGCCGAATGTAGGGGGGGTGTACCCCTGTCTTGGATCTCAGCCCTGCCTCAACTAATTTTGCTTGGTCTTTTCTTTTCCTTCACTTCTTTACTCCCTTCTTCTGTCCACTTATCCAAATTGTTGACTCATTTTTATACTTTGTGCCAATTTTCATCATACTTTAATAATATGAATAATTCTATAGTTCACTATTTACTCTGACTCAGATCTGTGAGGATATTACTGAGCAAAAGAGAGTGAGCAGCTTCTCTGTTGCTCTTATATACGTTTTCCACTGAATATTATAGTTTTACTAGCCTCTCACAGTCCCTTAAATTTCACACTTATTGATGCTCTATTATAAAATTCTCTCTCTCTCTCTCTCTCTCTGTCTTTCTTTCTTTCTTTCTTTCTCTCTCTTTCTTTCTCTTTCTTTCTTTCTCTCTCTCTCTTTCTTTCTCTTTCTTTCTTTCTCTTTCTTTCCTTCTTTCTCTTTCTTCCCTTCTTTCTCTTTCTTTCTTTCTTTCTCTTTCTTTCTTTCTTTCTCTTTCTTCTTTCTTTCTCTTTCTTTCTTTCTTTCTTTCTTTCTCTTTCTTTCTTTCTTTCTCTTTCTTTCTTTCTTTCTCTTTCTTTCTCTTTCTTTCTTTCTTTCTCTTTCTTTCTTTCTTTCTTTCTTTCTCTTTCTTTCTTTCTTTCTTTCTCTTTCTTTCTTTCTTTCTCTTTCTTTCTTTAAAATGAGGTTTAAAATGAAAATAGATGCTTTTCTTTCTGTCTGTCTGTCTTTTCTTTTCAATTAAAGTTCCATATTGAAACACAGGTACAAGCAAATAACATTTTACCACAAACTATATATTTGTGAAAACACACTGAACTAGAAGAAATATATATAGTAAAAAGAGAATATGGAACCCATCATTAAAGGATATTTGTTGTGGGGAATATAGCTCTTCAAAGATACAATCTAAATTTCAAAGTATTTAAAAGTTCAAATATTAGTTCAGAAAAGGTTTGTGACCTATTTAATATGAAAAGAGAATATAATCTATGTGAGTAAGAAAAATTGCATAACAAGTTACAAAAGAATGAAATGCATGGGATTCTATTTGCCATTCCTACATATAAATAAATACATATATAAGAAATTGCATAAGAAAAAAGAGAAGACACCTTTATATTTTCTAACTTAGAAATGTGATACTGATATACAAACCATGTCAAGATTCCATTCTTTGATAACCCCCAAACCATTTAGGTTCAAATGTAGTCTCTTAAACCTTTTTATACATTTTTAAACACTTTTCAATTCCAGTTAATCCTGCATTGCTCAGCTCCTCAATGACGTGGT